TCCTCTACTGAAAAACATAAATGACTTCTCTTTTTACATCTGAAATTTAAAATTGATTCGTTACAGTATTTTGATCTCTGACTCCAATCTCCTCCTCCAGGTTTCTGTCTCCACCACTTTTCCCTTTGTCCAGAGTAGAAAACTGAGAATTCTTTGAATATACCACAGTGCTTCTCCTTACATAGATAGCTCATCTTCATTTACTTAGAATCCCTTATTGTCTCTCCGAGTCCTGATTGTCAAAATCTCACCCATTATCTTTTTAAACTTTTGATTTTGGAAACATTTAAATATATATAAAGAAGACATACGGTATAACAAACGCTCAAGTACCCTTAAATCCTACCAAAATCAAAGGGCCACTTCAAATACCACTTCCTATGTGAGACCATTTTTTAGTGTTGCTTGTCTTGCTGCTTCTCTCCTGCTTTCAGGGTGCTATGCTTGTATTGTACACCACACATACTCACTGTTATTATGGAGTTGGGTTTTCATATCTCCTGATACTTCGACGGCAGAATTTGCCATCTAATAAATTTTGACCCTTGCAATGTGTACCTTGGGGAATGATTGACAATTTCAGCTCAAAGACAGAGAGAACGCAGGGAGGAGCTAGCTTGGAATTTAATTCTTACTAATCAGAAAGAACTGGTGGGTTGTGGGGGAAGTGGCAGGAGCCTGGGAGGAAAGTGACATTGGCATCATAAAGTGAGAAATGGTAAAACAAGTCAAACAAACAAACAAAAAACAACTTTACATAGACACATGGTAGACAAGGGCTGCTTAACTGTGGCTGATTTCTCAGACACTTGTGAAACTTAAAAAAATACATGGATCCTGAAGCCTCACTCTATCAACTTAGCCGGTAACTACTCTGCCCAGTAGCTGAGAGACCTGGACAAAAGGGCATTAGCAGGGGACCCACCTGCACGAGTCCTTTTGGGGCAGTTTCACCCGTAGGGATAGGATTGGAAGTGTGGTTTCAGTGACACAACTATGATATAGTTGTGTATAGATTTTAAGAGTTTTTAGCACTGAGACACTCTGTATGGCACCCAGCATGCCTGGAAGCCACACACACACACACACCCCTGGAAGCCACACACACAAACACACACCTGGAAGCCACACACACACCTGGAACCCTCCCCCCCCACACACACAAACACACACACTCCTGGAAGCCACACACACACACACACACACACACTCCCCTGGAAGCCACACACACACAAACACACACACAGAGAGAGAGAGAGAGAGAGAGAGAGAGAGAGAGAAGGGACCAGTGAACCAATGTCTTTATTGGGTACAGGGCGTTATCCAGTTTCCTGCGGGGAGCTTTAATTGCTGGGTTTAAAGCAAGCAGGCACTAGTTCTAGGAGGTCACAGTGTGACTGAGAGATGGTCACCTTACATTTGTGGGCAAATGTCTGCATGGTCTGTTTAAAGGAAATGGCAGGAAAATAGGGAGGCCAGCCTGCTAGGCAGGAGAGATGTCTCTAAGTTTCATCTCTGGCCACTGGTTTGGAGCCACTCCGGCGGAGTGTGGTATTAGAAACCGTGTCAAGAGTGACTGAGCCCTGCTTCTGATGTGAGATAGTTTAACTTAGGTTTAAAAATGGATACTGAGGCAGCCTAAAAGTATAAGCACTCACTACACTCCGTCCCAGAAATCCTGACTCTATAGACCTGGAGAAGTTCCCATAGTCAGTGGGCCCAAAGAGAGGTTGATTCAAGATTGATGAGATGTTTGAAAAATGTAATTCTCGCATAAATAACACAAAAGAGGGAGAATGGAGCATGGAATTTGAAGAAATAAGATGCCATCCAGAGAACATTCTGCTTAGCTCATATTTTAAAAATATAAGCATAAATATAAATATGGGAGGGAGAAAAGAAAGTATTTATTGAGCACCTATATTATGCCCGACCCTGCTAGGCTTCTTCACACACACCGTGTCAACTGAGTCTCTTAATGACCTGGGGAGACTTTACATCATCTCCAGTTTGCAGGTGTAGAAACTTAGTTTAAGATAAGAAACCTTCTCAACGTTACATCACTAAGTGGGACAGCTGGGATCTGAAATGATTCTTACTGATGCAGAGGTTTGTGCAATTTCCATTCCATTCTTGGTTGTGCATTTTGTGTGTTTTTTGAAGAGCTCTGTACAAATGTTCAAAACAGTTGAGAAAAGAATAACAAATATTCAGTCAACAAATATTTACGATGTGCCGGTACTGGGCAAAATCGTTGGCCATCATGGAACTTATATTCTAGTGGGGAAAGATAGGTAAACAAGGAATAAATAAATGCAAAAGTAAATAAATACAAAAATAAAATAATTCTAGATTGTGAGAAAAGGTATGCGGGAAATGAGTGGAAGATGGTCCTGGAGATCTATTTTAGAGAGAGTGGACATTTTTCAGCTAAAATATCAAAGTTTCAGGGCAGCTGCTTTGAGCTCATACTGTGTTGCAGGCCCAGCGTAAGGTGCCGGAATATGAAAGCAGGAATGTATGGATGGTAATCCTTAGGTTGTGTTCAGGAAGCTCTGGGAAGCTTCTATGAGGGAGCTTTTGAATTTGGAAGGTTGAGTTCTTGTCTGCAAGAGAGCTTAGAGCCCTCCAGGTAGAATGAACAGTATGACCAAAGGTAAGGTCTTAGGAGATTCATTCTGACTCTGAAATCAAACTGACTGCAGATTTTTAAATGAGCTGTTCAGTCAGGCACAGTGGCTCACACCTGTAATCCCAGCAACAGCACTTTGGGAGGCCAAGGCGGGCAGATAACCTGAGGTCAGAAATTTGAGATTAGCCTGGTCAACATGGCGAAACCCCATCTCGACTAAAAATACAAAAATTAGGTGGGTGGGGTGGTGCATGCCTGTATTCCCAGTCACAGCTACTTGGGAGGCTGAGGGGCATGAGAATTGTTTGAACCTGTAAGGTGGAGGTTTCAGTGAGCCTAGATAATGCCACTGCACTCCAGCCTGGGTGACAAAGCAAGCCTCTGTCTCAAAAAAAAAAAAAAAAAAAAAAGTAGCCGGGTGTGGTGGCAGGCGCCTGTAATCCCAGCACTTTTGGGAGGCGAGGCAGGGGATCATGAGGTCAGGTTCAAGGACCAAGCCTGAGCCCAACATGGTGCAACCCATCTTCTAACTAAAAATAACAAAAATTGTCAAGGCGGTGGTGGCGGAAGTGTTATCCCAAGTACTCAGGAGAGGCTGAAGGCAGGGAGAAATCACATGGAAGCGGGGAGGCAGAGGTTGCAGTGAGCTGACATTGTGACCCTCCATCCAGGCTGGGTGAATCAGAGCAAGATTCCAATGCTCACAACAATTCAAAAGTTTTCAGGTATTTCTTCTCTGGACTTTGATTGTGTCAGATTTTTGTGTGATCTGTGGGGCCTCTTAAGAACCGGTGTGGATGGCGAGAATTCGCGCGCACTGCCAGGGTCTGTTTCCTTTTACATTTGCTTGTTGCAACCATTTTCTTCGCTGCGCGCCTCTTCCCTGCCCTGCTTCGTTCGTTGCCTTTGCAGTATGATGGTTCGAATTTAATACTGAATGTCATCACTGCTGTTTTATTGCAATACCCTTGGAAGGTAAGCCTCGATGCAAGCTAGTAAAGGAGAGGGCGCACAGAGCTCTAGTTGCGTTCCTTGGCGTGGAATCCATTATATTGGGAAAGATTTTAATAATAAATGGCGACTGGGAACACTGCCATCCTGTTGTGGAGCTGTGTCCGACTATCATAAACCTTCGCAATCATGCCCCCAACGACGCCAAGGGCTAAACACTTTGAGGCAGTAGAGTAATCTTCACGATGCCACTTTTGTTGACCGCGTAGAGGATCGTCTGCTGTTTGGGTGGCAGTGGACACACTTCTGTTTTTACTGTAATTGAAGACATTCAGAGGAGTGCTTTGTGCTTACACTCTCGAGTGTGTTGCAAGACCTGTCGTGTACCACTGATTTTCAGGTGCAGTCAAAGCTAGCGAACATTTTGTTTTGGCACTAATGTAATTTTCTAGCTATTGGCAAGCTTTTAAATTTTTTTTTCCAGGCCATTTTGCTTTCCAGCCAGGTATATAATGACCCAGCCTTTTGCTTTGGTTTAAGATGATTTTGAATATATGTGTGAATGTGGTGGGACTACGCTATTTTCTCAGAGAACACGATGGGTGTGACAGAGGGTCTGATGCAATATATGATATATCCCCGAGGCCAACAGAGGCTTACCTTGCAGACCTGTGGCCATAAGCAGCGAGGCTTGTTGCGATCTGCAGAATTCTACAGAAATTCTCTTTGTCTGAGAAGGTGTTGCTAGATGTGATCATAGAAGCCTTGTTGTTTTCTGATTTTTCACACTGTTTTGCTTTAGATTATCAAAGGACAAAGGACTGTTGAACATAGTTGGCACTTAGCATGTATCTTTCAGGTGCTCCTCCCTTTTTTTTTTTTTTTTTTTTTTAACAGTGTTCAATGTTAGCGTCAGGTGTTGGCTGCCTTCCTGGGGGAACAGATTGCTGTGAAGTAAACACAGCTGGAAACTGACCACATATTGTTTTTCTTTCTTTTAAGAAATGAAAGAGGCATTTATAGAAAAGCTGCAGAACATGGTACTGTCCAGATTTATAGATTTATTCCTCCAAGTCTGGTTAATGATTAATGTCACGCCTGGGTGTCCACATAGACCCACTTCCCTTCTCCCTTCCTGAAGCTGCAAATTCCTGGGAACAATGAACTTGCAGAGGTTTGCTGCAATCCGAACTTGAGGAGGGGGCGGAGTCTGTTCGGTTCTGTTTCTCCTTGCTGAAGTGTGGTCTTTGGAGCTAAGTGAAGAATGACTTCTGTTAGGTTTGCCTCTGCTGGCCTTCCCCGCAGCCTCGAAAACCTCACCAGAGTCGCCTCTGCTGGTCTCTTATTGTGCTGCTCTGTCAGAGATGGGCAAGTAAGTGAATTGCAGAATGTTGCTGTGTGTGCTTGTGATTTGTATTTTATTTGATGTACTTTTTAACGTGAAGGCAGAGTATTTTCTAACACTGTAATTCAACTAGGTTTTGTGTCTCCTGGATCTGTTTTTTCTCGTTGCTCCGAGGAGCTGATATACTTGGAAATATTAGGTGTAAGATATGCAGATGTCCAACTTATATATAGTCAAGGGTTTAGAGTCTGGAGACAGGAGGCTGGCAATTTCAACTAGGAGGCAGTAAATTCGGGGTAAGAATGATGTTGATGTAGGGGGTTGGGAGGATAGCTGGGTGTAAAAGTGATCTGGGGAGAGAATCAAAGGCCTTCTCCTCCCTCTTGAAAGACTTTATTATAATTTTGGTCTTTTATTCCTTTGGTCTCTCTGTGCCAAAAACGTTCTCTCTTTTTTATTGTTTCTTTGTATAGATGTTTTGGTGATTTAAGTTATGGTTTAAGAGTTAATTGCTGTTAAGAATTGCTACTAATTAATTGCTATATTAAGGTTTTCCAAAGGGGTTTTCTCAATAAATAGCTATTTCTCTTTACATCTCTCTTATAAGAACTGAGTTAGAAATAAGAGGAAGATGTAGGAATTTAAGAGTAACTTCTGCTTTTGGTTTGCTTAAATGACAACTGGAGACCAGTTTTCATAGGCAAATTATGTGTTACTTTAGTGTTTGTTTTCTTTGAGAGGACTGTAGGGTTGCCTCTTGGGATTACCTGAATTATCTGTCGCCTGTACTGGAATTTGTATGTAGTTATCTGTATAGTTATCTAAAGAAGTTGAACCTGTCATTCATTCCTCACTGAAGAATCTCTTTGAAAATAACATTTCCTGTCTGTCTGGCTGAGGCGTATGGATGGCAATTGTTGGAATTAGGCCATCTATCTATTTGGATTCTCATAACTGGGTCCAGCACTTAGCATAGTTCCTGGTACCTAGGAAAGCTCTATGTGATGTCAATAACTGACAATTTGGTAACAACCTTAACAGCTGTTTGAGTTCCAAGAGCAGGAAAGTGAATGGTGAGTTTTGAACCGTGTAAAATACATAGGTAAACCCAAATGAGGAGAGAATTGAGGAAGCCTGAAAGTGTTCCTAAAAGGCTTTCTCTAGGCTGATTACTGCGAAGCATATTTTTTCCTGGCTTTATACAACTTGGCAGAATTGATCTGATTTTGGATTCTGAAGGAATAGAAAGAAAAAATTTCGTTATACATTGTAGTGGGCTATGATCATGTAGCCAATTCTCTTCATGAATTTTTTTAAATGACTTTTAAAAAGAGGAGACAGTACTAATTGTTTCCCTAAATGAGTCTAATTAAGAGCTACTTACGGTATCTTAATGTTTTTTCATATATGTTATCTGCTTTGATTCTCGTATCAGTCAAGTGAGGTGAGTACTGATGTTACTTCCTCATTTTACAATTGAGAAAACAGAGTCAGATGAAAAGTGATTCTAGAAGTTGTGTGGTGCATGGAAGAAGCAGATGTCAGCTGGATATTTTAAAACTCAAAATCCCGTGTTCTTCTCACTCGCCCCCTCTCCAGTCATCTCTAAACGTCTTCTATTGCAGGATAGTAGAAAGAACTCCCACCTGGGTGTCAGGAGACCTGGATTCTGATCTGACTGGGTCATTGCTGACCTCTGTGATGTGGAGCAAGTCACTGAAGTCTTTGGATGTCATTTTTTCTGCAAGGAGGTTATTTTAATTGATTTCTTAAGTTTCTTTGCAGCTTCAGGATCTATCCAGGGCCGTATCCAGGGCTTGTGTTATCTCTGAGTGCTCATCTGCAATGTAGAGAAGAGGTGGGAAAGGAGGTAGCATTCTTTTTTTTTTTGAGACGGAGTCTTGCTCTGTCACCTAGGCTGGAGTGCAGTGGTGCGATCTTGGCTCACTGCATGCAAGCTCCGCCTCCTGGGTTCACGCCATTCTCCTGCCTCAGCCTCCCGAGTAGCTGGGTCTACAGGCGCCCACCACCATGCCTGGCTAATTTATTGTATTTTTAGTAGAGAGGGGGTTTCACCATATTAGCCAGGATGGTCTCGATCTCCTGACCTCGTGATCCGCCCGCCTTGGCCTCCCAAAGTACTGGGATTACAGGCGTGAGCCACCGCGCCCGGCCAGGAGGTAGCATTCTTTCCAGCCATTCTATCCAGCGCTCCCTTGGTTTCCCCTGGGAGACACAGGATCTCCATGGATGGGGAAAACCCCAGGCCCTTGTTGGCTCTGATCTGCTTCCTGAGCTGGTATTTCTCAGTCTGTTCGTTTTCACTCATCAACAGAAGTATTCGAGCCAAATTCTCTTGTAATTTCAGCCCAGTAGGCTGATTACTGCGAAGCATATTTTTTCCTGGCATAAGCTCATCTGTTATCTTAATCCTTTACGGAACAGGGCAAATGTAAATAAGTATTACTGTATCCCTCTCTTAAGTTTTTCAAATTACAGCAGGTGGTTGGGAAAGGGTGGGGAGGGCAGAACAGTGGAAAAGCATTTTTCATTCTACTTCCATTGCTAACTCTTGTAGTTGTTAACAGATCGATTTAGAAAATAGGGGGATACTGAGATAAGGGTGACTGCCCTTTACTAACACTAAAAAGAAAAAAAAAGCTATAACCAAGTGTCTGTCATCACCATTATAGTGTAAAAGAAAAAAAAAAAAGCAAGGCCAGGCATGGTGGCTCATAGGCTGGGCGTGGTGGCACATGCCTGTAATCCCAGCACTTTGGGAGGCCAAGGTCAGTGGATCACCTGAGGTCAGGAGTTTGAGACCAACCTGGCCAACATGGAGAAACCCCTGTCTCTACTAAAAATACAAAAATTAGCCGGGCATGGTGGTGCATGCCTGTAATCTCAGCTCCTCAGGAGACTGAGGCAGGAGAATTGCTTGAATCCAGGAGGCAGAAGTTGCAGTGAGTGGAGATCGTGCCACTGCACTCCAGCCTGGTGACAAAGTGAGACTCTGTCTCAAAAAAAAAGAAGTTGCAGTGACACACTCAGTGGGCAGAAAGGGCAGATCTTCCTAGGAAAAGAGAGTTGGCATTCTCATCCTGATGTTTGCCCCCTGGACTGATGAAAAAACCTCATTCATGACCACAGTCTGTATTTGGGAAGCTCTGTTCTACCTGGTGCTTGGGTTCTTAACACTCATGAACTTCCTGGGCAGGAAGTGGTGCTTTGAATGGAGACGTGAGAGCTGCTTGCGCAGGTCAGCTCTTTCCTTTGCTGCAGTCTCTTTCTCTGCTATCTTGCTATGATTTAATCCTTAACGTTTTCCTTACATCTTTCTCCATAGGCAAGAAGCGAAACCCTGGCCTTAAAATTCCAAAAGAAGCATTTGAGCAACCTCAGACCAGTTCCACGTAAGTTGGCAAGATCATCATCTGAATCCAAATCCTTGTACTTTCAGGTTTCTCTTGGGGGTTTATTTTTGGACTGGTGAGCAATGCCTTGACTTTAGAAGAGCCCTTTAAGGGGGGAAGCCAGTTGCTCACTGTTCTGAGACCTGAAATAATCATATCTCATCAGTCAGTTATGTTGAATGGGTAGTTTTGAACTCAGTGTGTTAAGTTATTGGTTAAGAATTGAATGTCACATATATTTGGCAGATGGGGCTCTATGTAAGGCCAGAAAGGCCCCTGGATGTGGACTTCCTTGCCTTTTCCCTGTAGATTGGAGCAAACAGGAAAATCCCTGTGAAAGCCACTACTATAAAACTTGGGTTGAGATGGAAAGATGGTATTTGGTGAGGACCCACATCCTGACACTTAAATTCTGTCCCGTATAAACAGAAGGAAGAATGAGGTAAAGGAACATTTTTTTATTAGCTGAGGTTTTGGCCTAAATCCCTAAGTCAGCTCAAGTCCTAGTGAAGGACATCGTGTAAATGACATCCTCTCTGTGAACCTCCTTCTTGTTTTTTTTTTTAATCTGGTGGTGGGAAAGGTACTTCCCTACCAAGGCATCTGCATGAGAGGAATCGAAACTCCAAGGAAACGAATCACAATAGAGGTGTTAGAGAGACAGGGCAAGGGCAAAGAGAGGGCATCCTAATGGAAAAGTGAGTTGGTAAGGCTTTTGTTCATGTCTACAAAAGTGCCTCCCTTTGTAATGCGTTTTGATGTTAGCTGTGATCTACTATCAGGAAGTGCACCCCCTAGTGTTGGAATGTGCTTTTAAATGGGATCCTGTCTGCTGTTAAGACTTGTTAAAGCCATTGGTCCTTGCATTGCATGAAGCAGTATACAGAAACTTTCCACTGGAGAATTTTTAAGGACAAAGTAGAGTTGACGGCTACTCTTCAGGGTTCTGGACTGTAGCTCAAGGGTCTAAACTCAGGATAGAATGTTCCTTTCATTGGAATCTGCAGGAGGAAGATCCATCTTCTCATACTTACTATCAATATTTTTTTCCTCTTTTTTTTCTTTATTTTGGTCTCTCTGAGCAATTTTTTTTTTTTTTTTGTAGACCTGTGAACTGTGTAATTACTATTGTTTCCTCTCTGATTGATTTCTCAAGAGCTTAGAGTCAAATATGTGGCCTACTTTTACTACCTGTATAGGAATTTATGGGATATACTTTTAAAACTTTTTATTTTGAAGTAATTGTAGATTAAAAGGAGGTTGCAAAGAAATGTACAGGGAAGTCCCATATATCCCTTTCCCCAAGCCATGCCAAACTCCCCCCATCTCACGTTAACATCTTGCACAACCATAGTACATTATCAAGATCAAGAAAGTGGCAGTAGTGCAAATTATAGAACTTAATTTTGCCAGCTATGCGAGTATTCATTTGTGTGTGTGTGTGTGCATGTGTAGCTCTATAAAGTTTATCACATGTATAAGTATTGCATAAATACTATTATAATCAAGATACTTCACTACAGCAACATTACAAGACTCTTTATGTTACCCTCTTATAGTCACACCCACCTCTTCCCCCCATCTCTGTCCTTAATCCCTGGCAACCACTAATCTGTTCTCCTTTGCCATTTTGTTATTTCATGATTGTTATGTAAATGAAATCATGCATCTCTTTTTGAGATTTTTTTGTTCAACATAATTTTATTGAGGTTCATTTAAGTAATTGCATGTATTGACAGTTTGTTCCATTTTATTGCTAAGTACCCATCTATGGTATGGTCATACCATAGTTTGTTCAACACCTTAGCCTTTGAAGAAGATATGGGAAGTTTTCCATTTTTGGCTATTAGGAATAAAGCTGTTATGAGCATTTATGCATAAGTTCCTGCATGAGAATAAGTCTTCATTTCTCTGGGGTATAAGCCCAATAGTGTAATTGCTGGGTTACATGGTAAGCCCATCTTTAGTTTTGAAAGAACTGCTGAACTGTTGGCCAGAGTAAATGTACCATTTTATGTTCTCACCAATAATGTCTGAATAATCCAGTTTTTCTGGATCTCTGCCAGCAATTGGTACTGTCAGTATTTTGCAGTTTAGCCATTCTGATGTGTAGTGATATGTATGTAGTTTTTGTTGTTGTTGTTGAAATGGAGTTTCTCTCTTGTTGCCCAGGCTGGAGTGCAGTGGCGTGATCTCGGCTCACTGCAACCTCTGCCCCTAGGTTCAGGTGATTCTCCTGCCTCAGCCTCCCCAGCAGCTGGGATTACAGGCGCCTGCCACCATGCCCAGCTAATTTTTTTTTTTTTTTTTTAGTAGAGACAGGGTTTCACCATATTGGCCAGGCTGGTCTGCTGGTCTCGAACTCCTGACCTTAGATGATCCACCGGCCTCAGCCTCCCAGAGTGCTGGGATTACAGGCGTGAGCCACCGTGCCCGGCCTATATGTAGTTTTAATTTGCAATTTCTCTAGTGGCTAATAATGTAGAATATGTTTTTAGGTGTTTATTTTCCATCTACATATTTTTGGTGAAATGTCTGTGCATATCTTTTGCCCATTGTCTAATTAGATTCTTTTTATTGTTTACTTTTGAGAGTTATTTGTATATTCTGGACACAAGGACTTTGTCTGATACATGATAGGAAAATATTTTTCACAGTTTGTAATTTGTCTTTTTATGATTTTAGAAGGGTCTTTCACAGAGCAAAAGTTTTTAATTTTGATGAAGCTCAACTTATCAATTATTACTTTTACAGATCATGCTTTTGATAATAAGTCTAAGAACATTTTGCGTAGTCCTAGATCTGTCTAGAAGTTTTGTAGTTTTGCATTTTGCATTTAAGCCCATGGTCCATTTTGAGTTAATTTTTGGTCAAGGTGTGAGTTTAGGTTGAGCTTTATTTTTTTGGCCAGTGGGTTACCAATTATTCTAGAACCATTTGTTGAAAAGGCTATCCCTCCTCCATTGAATTGCTTCTGCTCCTTTGTCAAATGTCAATTGGGCATATTTGTTTGAAGTTATTTCTGTGTTCTCTATTCTGTTCCACTGATTTATGTGTCTGTCCCTTTGCCAGTATCACACTGTCTTGATTACCACAGCTGCATAGTAAGTCATAACAGGGAAACATGATTCCTCTCACTCTGTTCCCTTTCAGAATTATGTTGACTATTCTAAAGGTCTTTCTCTTTTCTTATAAGTTTTAGAATAAGCTTGTCTGTGTCCACAGAGAAACTTACTGAGATTTTAGTAGGAATTGTGTTTAACCTATAGATCAATTTAGGGCGAATTGACATTTTTACTACCTTGGTTCTTCTAATCTGCAAACATGGTATATTTCTTCAACTTTAAAAATTTTATTCCATCAGTATTTTTATAATACAATTCCTCTATATTAGATTTTGTTGAAATTTATACCTAAGTGTTTTTTTGGAGCAAATTTTAAGCGGAATTTGATTTGTGAGCTAGGTTTTTACTTGTTCATTGTCAGTGTATAGAAATGCAATAGATCTTTTCTGTATTGATTTTGTATTCTGTGGATTCTGCAATTGATCTTCTATTCTGTGACTGTACTAAAATCGCTTATTAGTTCTAGAAGCTTTTCATCGAATCCTTAGGGTTTTCCATGTAGACAATCATGGCATCTGTAAACGGAGACAGTTTTATTTCTTCTTTTCCAATCTTTACTTTGACTTTTACTTGCATTCTGTTGCCTTATTGAAGTGACAAGAATGTCCAGTCCTATGTTAATAAGGTTGATGAGAGCAGGCAAACTGGTTTGTTCCTTATCTTAGAGGGAAAGCATTTAGTCTTTCACTAGTAAGTATGAAGCTAACTGTAGATTTTTTATAGATGTTACTTATGAGGTTGAAAAGGTTCCCAGCTATATAAAATCTCTCAGCATACTGAGAGGTTTTTTTTTGATTGTTTGTTTTTGTTTTTTGAGACAGGGTCTCACTCTGTCACCCAGGCTGGAGTGCAGTGGTGTGCTCGTGGCTCACTGCAGTCTCAGCCTCCCCTGGCTCAAGTGATCCTCCCATCTCAGCCTCCGAAGTAGCTGGAACTACAGGTACATGCCACCACACTGGGCTAATTTATTTTTGTATTTTGTAGAGATGGGGTTTCACCGTGTTGTCCAGGCTGGTCCGAACTCGTGGGTAAGCAATTTGCGTGCCTTGGCCCTCCCAAAGTGCCAGGATTACAGGCACGAGCCAACATGCCCTGCCTGAGAACTTTTATTATGAATGGGTATTGAATTTTGTTGAATGCTTTCTCTGCACCAATTGATATGATCAAAAGATTTTTCTTTTTTTTTTTTTAAATTTATTTATTATTATTATACTTTAAGTTGTAGGGTACATGTGCATAACGTGCAGGTTTGTTACATATGTATACTTGTGCCATGTTGCTGTGCTGCACCCATCAACTCGTCATTTACATCAGGTATAACTCCCAATGCAGTCCCTCCCCCCTCCCCCCAAGATTTTTCTTCTTTGATCTGTTGATATGTAGATTATGTTGATTCATTTTTATGTACTGAGCTAGCCTTGCATACCCCAAATGAATCCCAGTTAGTTATGGTGTATATATTTTTGTGCATTGTTGGATTCGATTTGCTAAAATTTTGTTGAGGATTTTTGTTTCTTTTGGGAGATGTTGGTCTGTGATGGTTTATTTATTATTTCCCTTGTGCTATTATTTTCTAGTTTTAGAATTAAGGTAATACTAATAAAAATGAATTGGTAAGTGTTGCTTCTATTTTTTGGTAGACATTGTATGAAATTGGTGCTAATTCGTCTTTGAATGTTTGCTAAAATTCTCCAATGAAAGAAAATGAGCCTGGATTTTTTTTTTTTTTTTCCCCTGGGACTTTTTAATCACAATCCCAATTTCTTTAATAGTTACAGGACTATTCAGATTATCTGTTTCATTATGGCTGAGTTTTGGTAGTATGTGGTTTTGAGGAGTTGGTCTATTTCTTCGAAGTTGTCACATTTATGAGAG